TGTAGAAAGACAGACTTTGAAGGTTTAGCGGAGTCAGACAGAGCGTTGTTAAATGGGACAGGCTAACCTATAGAGGATTGTTCTTGTCGCCTAGCAACTGTGACAGTTCATGTTGACAAATGACAGTAACGTTTGTATGACGTTTTTGAAAGTGATATTCAACTGAACAAAACAGGGTTCACAACCTGTCTAAATATTTCACCATGGTTCATTTCTGTACATAATAAAATTAAATAAACTATCCATAAAATTGCATCTGTAAATGTAAATGTGTATTCCGGAATTATCTCTCAAAAAAATTAAAATAATGTTGTCATTGGAACGCAATGAATCTTAGGATAGTCTGGGCTGTGAATGATCCATTTGTTGTATCCTTCATGGTCTGGGAAACGAGGGATGGATTTCAAGCTCACATTTGAAGGAGGCTTTGAAAGAGGACAGCATTCGTGGCGCCGTGGCCAGTCTTCGAATGCAGCCTTCGAAGGATGCAGCCTCTAAATTGGGACACAGCTTATGATTCCATCCAGTCAGGGGACATCAAGACATGTTAGATATTTTGAGCTGATCTTATAACAATGTTTTCATTTGTCATGCATCTTCTTAAAACGAAGCATGTTTCAGCACAAGTGTTGTGTTCAGAACAACTTTAAATCTGCTGGTGTGTAATCCTCAGTTGTTTAGTGTAGGATGCCCAGTTTGTAGTGAATTGCAGCCTTAATGTGGTTTCCATGTGCTTGAAGGTCACTATTCATTCCATTTCTTTTTCTTGCAGTCAGCTTCCCTCTTCAGTTATAATTTGCACATCTGATGCATCAGACATAAAAAGGCACCCATATGAGGTGTAAAAAAAAAAAATAGTATATATATATATATATATATATATATATTAAAAAACCTTTATTAAAATAGGGTTATAACAATAAAAGTCACTGTGGCACGCTGGTGCTAAATGAAGACCTCACACCTTGATGGAAAGTTCTCGGTTGTGATTTTTAATGTTATAGGCCTATTTTAAAAAGGATTTTAATAGGGCCTCGGTTTTTTTGTTTCATAGCATGCCATCACTTCAAAGAGCACCTAACAGCATTGAAGTAAACAGCTTCTTGCTGCAGTTATTGGTGACAGATTTTTTCTTTTCACATTTTATATCAGCATAATTAGGATCATGTTTTCTAAGACAATTTTTGACCACATAGCATTTTGTGTTGCATTGCTTGCAACAGCTTTGTACTGTGTGTGTGTGTGTGTGTGTGTGTGTGTGTGTGTTTTAAACTGCAGTTATATTTAGGGCAGGGCAATATACTGAATATTAGAGATATTATCGAGATTATCAAGTAATCAATATAAAATTACATTATATTGTTTATATTGATATTAAATAATGAATATTGTCGAAAATGAAGATTAATGTGCCAAAGACAGCACCAATAGGCAATTTCAGTCCTCCTGCAAACTAGCCAAGAAGTGCTTATAGTTCCCCATCTGAAACAGTTTTTAGTGATAGTGGGAACGCACAGAGCATCTCTTAAACCAGAAACCGTTGATAGATTTGTGATTTTAGCTTTAAAAAAAAACTTAAATACTTTCATAATTTACCCCAGTTGCACAGTGTAAAATGTAGTACTGCATGTAAATTACATTGCTCTAAAGAAGCTGTCAGAATGCACTTATTGTACGCATTTTACACTCTTTTTTTTTTATATTGTCACATTTACATGTGTTAATTTAATAAAAAGTCGTCGTTGCTAGGTCTACATTTTTGATTTTGCACTAAACATTTTGAATGTGCTTAGAACCAATAGCTGTTTCACATTTTTAATAAGTTTAGAGCAAATGCAAAAATATCAATTATTGTTGAAATCTGAAAAAATATTAAGATTTAAAATTTTAGGTATAGTCATCACCCATCCCTAGTTATATTAGGTTGTTTCAGCAATTTTTGGTTTGTTTCAGTTATTTTGCACATTAAAATCTGTTGACAGCATTGTACGGCAAACCGCAGGGACACTGACTCAGTTCTGCTCACCTGGGCTCTCGCTCTAACGTGAGCACTAAAGAGCACGTCAATGGTTCCATTAGTCTAAGTTTTTACCGGCTGAACATAATTGAAGCACCCACAGGGAGGGGACGCTACCCAGAGTGGTTTAAAGAAACTCACAGTATGCTGGAGGCTTAGAATAACACATACCTCACGTGTCTGTTTACTCATAATATAGATATCAAGAGCTGTTTAGTCTGGGTGCAATTCAGAAGCAGACATTATTGCAAGTTTCTGCTCAGTGTGTTAGGCTATAATTAGACCTGAAAAATACAGATAAAAAAGAGAGCTCACAAATATTTTGCCAACATTCAATGCACATCTTGATATTAGGTCTAAAATAGCTTAAAGGTATAGTTTACCCAAAAAAGAAAATTGGCTGAAAATGCAGTCACCCTCATGCCATCCAGTTTGTAGATGAGTGTTTCTTCATCTGTACAGATTTGGAGAAATTTAGCATGGCGTCACTTGCTTCTCTAGATCCTCTGCAGTGAATGGGTGCAGTCAGAATGAGAGTTCAGCTGATAAAAACATCACAATAATCCACAAATAATTCACACGATTCCAGTCCATCAATTAACATCTTGTGAAGGGAAAAGTTGCATGTTTGTAATAAACTAAATCCATCATTAAGATGTTTTTAACTTCAAATCATTACTTACAGCTAAAATTCAACCTGTTTGGACTCTCATTCTGACGGCACCCATTCACTGCAGAGGACCCATTGGTGAGCAAGTGATGTAAAAAAACAAACAAAAAAAAAAACCTTCAGTGAACAGTTATGAGTAATGATGCAAACTGGTGAATCTGTGCTTTAAAAAATATGAAATTAATTACTGAAAATAAATAAACGTTCCAAAGCAATCCCCATTTTTGCTAAAGTGTCTTAAAGGGTTAGTTCACCCAAAAATGAAAATTCTGTCATTAATTACTCACCCTCATGTTGTTCCATACCCGTAAGACCTTCGTTCATCTTCGGAACACAATTTAAGATATTTTTGATTAAATCTGAGGGCTCTCTGACCCTCGCACGTTCACAACAGTATCATGATGCGAGCGTGTGGCGGCACCGACCCAGATCCGGCGTAATGACGTCATCACGCCGGATCTGGGTCAGCGCCGACACATGCTTGCGTCATGATACTGTCGTGAACGCGCATGCACAAGTGATGCAGTAGAGACGAAAATGTGGAATAAAGTCTTTTGTTTTCTTTGCGCAAAAAAGTATTCTCGTAGCTTTGTAACGTTACAGTTGAACCACTGATGTCACACGGATTACTTTGTACTTTTCTGGACCTTGAACGTGGTAGTTACTTTGCTGTCTATGGGAGGGTCAGAGAGCCCTCAGATTTCATCAGAAATATCTTAAATTGTGTTCCAAAGATGAACGAAGGTCTTACGGGTTTGGAACAACACAAGGGTGAGTAATTAATGATAGAATTTTCATTTTAGGGTGAACTAACCCTTTAAACAAGAAAACCTCCATGATAACTTTTTTTAACACTGTCAAACAAGTGACAAGGCAACTAAGAAGAGAAAAACTATCACAATAACACAGCCTTTAGGAAATTTAAACTGTCACTTTAAGATTACCGTGATATTCATTTAATGCCACTTAATTTCAAATAAAAAGCATTGTAAATATTCCATATCTCATCCAGTGAGCGCTTGTTAATTTATTCTATTCCCCAGTCGACACCCTGGGGATATTTATTCAATCTCATCTTTGAGTATGCTTAATGAAGATTTGTGCTAATTAAATAAGTTGTCTCTGACATTCAGCTCATCATGCTGTTCAAAATGAACTGCACTGAACATATGGCCATTTTAGTACTGTCTTGTCCATAAAAACAATTGAATCTGCAAAGATTGATTGGTGCTTCATTTGTCTGATGCATGTATGATTCAAGGACCACAAATTGATCCCTGTCAAATGGGTATTTTTGAATGTATGTCAAATGCGAAATGCATTACCATACAAACCCTGACTTAAAATGATAATGTTGACGAGTTACACATTTAAAACAAAAATGAATGCAGTATCTATTGCTTTTACAACAACTGACTGATTGGTAAAGAGACAAAAACAGAACACACAATCACTGCTTCTGCAGTAGCTTGCTACAGGAAATACCAAAGAGCATTTATGCTTAATCTATGAACCATTTACTCACTTAATTAGAGGGCACGAGTGAATGAGGCTCATTTGCATTTCAACGGCAACGGCCATGTGTGATTGCAGCAGACGCATCTTTGACTCAAATTATGCTGGCTTTCATTAGTGTCCTTACAAGTTTCTGTTTACTGCTGTTTGGATTGAAAGAGCAAATACTGAAAGGAACACACATAGTCTGATTCTTTTATACGAGTGACCTGCTTCGGAAACCAGCCATCCGAAGCAAGTCAAGGCTGTAATGAAGGGCTTTTAGATTTGACGCTTGCATCTCTAATGTTCAGAAGTACTGCTGTGCGGAAAGTGGTTCGGTATTGTGAACAGGAACTTTGAGAAAAATTGTAGCTGTGCTCATTAAAGTCTGAAAAAGTCACTTCATTATATGAGCCAAGCTAACTTTCAAGACAAACTAGCACCTATATGGTGCGAACTGCATGTTTGGTACCACACGCCTCCACAGGTCACACTCAACTCACTTACTCTTCACGGACATTTCAGTCCATCTGTTAAAACGGAGTTGAGTTATAAAGAAAGCTAACCAAAATGTATCTCTTTCCTTGTTAATATGCCAAAACACCCAGTCTTTAGGTCTCTACAAGCAGTATTCCGTAAGCATGGATGGCAGTGGTGGCGAATGGCTCAGCACTCCTGTGCCCGCGTGTTGCCTGGAAAATGTCACCATGCAGAATTCCAGCATGGGCCAAATCTACGAAGTCATGCTGCAGTCGACGAACACATCGAAGCGCAGTCCTCAGTTTGTTGGCGTGGAGCTCCTTCAGTCTTTTAAACCTCTCATCATCCCTTGCTACGCTCTTGTGGTCCTGGTTGGAGTTTTTGGGAACTACCTACTGCTTTATGTCATCTGCCACACCAAAAAAATGCACAACGTTACCAACTTCTTCATCGGTAACCTAGCGTTTTCCGACATGCTGATGTGTGCTACCTGCGTGCCCTTTACCCTGGCATATGCTTTTAATCCACGTGGGTGGGTATTTGGAAGATTCATGTGCTACCTGGTGTTCCTCATTCAGCCGGTGACGGTGTACGTGTCGGTTTTCACACTGACAGCTATTGGGGTGGACAGGTGAGTGATGCATGTGAGTGCTGTGGCTCTTGACTGTGTGACTAATTTATTACTTCATCAATGTTTTACTAGCATTCCGGGGCTTTTGTAGAGCATGATTATGTAACAGACTGATTCAGTGGATTAATCACATATACTACCATTCAAAAGAACATTCTGGGGAAAAAAAGGATCTTATGCTCACCAAGGCTGCATTTATTTAATTAAAAATAGAGTAAAAACTGTGACGTGAAATATTACAATTTAAAAATCACCTTTTTTATTAGATTTTTAAAATGAAATTTATTATGTAAATCTTCTGCCACATGTCGATCAGTTCGAATAGAGCATAGGTGATCATATGATGACTGGGATCTGAAAATTATGATAATTTCTTAAATTGTTCTGATCTACCAACAATTAGGCATTTCTTCAAACATGCCATTTTGTATCTAAGGAGTTGATTTTAGCTTGAACATTTTTTGAACAGATTTTTGTTTGGACAGATTTCAGCTTTCTTTTTGCTGTACCAAGGTCATAATAAAAATGTCTTGGAAACCTTTTTACCATGCCTTCATTATTTTTTGCAGATTTTCAAATGGCTTTATAGCTTGTTCTTGTCCCAGACACAGGCCTTGCCAGTCATACACTACTGTAAGACAATCCGACATACAAATTAATTAAATATTTAAGTATGATAATAGAGTAAAAAAAAAAAAAATCAAGCATTTTAATATTTATCTTTTTTAAAAATACAATACAAAACAATACAAGACACTGATGGGAATTTTAATGACTTTCAGAAAACTAAAAACAAATGACAGAATTGTCATGTGACACATGTCCATGGTTGAACTTTGTTAGACTTCTTTTGTCTAAAAATCCACATTGTTTTAAACATGCATGCAACAGTTTTGGTGATTTTCAGCTCAATTTGAATGAAGCAGTAATCTAAATGGCTTTTTTTCAGGGTACCAGAAGAGCACGTAAGCGCTGCCATGAAGCATTCATTTGTAAATAGTAATTTTATCTCATGGTACACAAAAAAGACCATGAGAATGCATGATATTATGTGACACACAGTTGTATAGTGACACATTCTATAGACACAGAAAACTGGAAGGCTAAAGTAATGTCAACATGCTGCCATATGTGAAATACCAAGGACACCTAAAATAAACCAGGACTTTTTATCCCCAATTGTGAAAATAAATTCATAGTGGATCTTCTCTGTTAAACTTTATGGCTTCGTATAGCCTTTAACCTTCACACTTCCCTCCCTGCGAGTCAGTGATGGATGATGTTGCTGCACAATAGTCAAGGAAAATGAAAAATTGTTGGTTTGTAGTATAATAGGTGCATTAAGAATCAATTTACCTTAGGACTAGGCCGTCATCTCCTGTACATGGTCTGGTGAAGCCCACATGAATACTGTCTTTAAAAGCCCTTGATATTATCGGTGAGTTTGGATGCAGACCCATTCATCCAGGCTGGATCGGAGGTGAGGAAATGTGCATCCATTGAAGAGCGAGCTTTTGCAGCAAAACATCCAACAGGTTCTGCTCACCTTAAAGTGAATAAAAAGAGTTCATAGAGGTCTTATTTTTATCCCGTTTTTTACAGCCTACTTATTATGTCTCTACAAAATCAGCATGCTAAATCTTGTATTTGCTTCAGCTTATTACGTAGTCTTTATATCTTAACAAAGCTCTCAAACTCAAATTGGGGCCACTAGTCAGCTGGTGTTCCCAGGGTCGTACAAGAGCTTCTTTTCAAAAATCTGGCTTGCAATAACTGCCTAGAAATAGTATGAAATAAAACAGTATGTTGGTTTCAAATAGTTTAGAATTTTTTTTTTATATTCAAGATTTTATTTTTCATTTAATGACTAAAAGTCATGAGGTGTGTAACCAAATAAAAGTAGTTACAAAATGTAATAAAATATTAATTAAAAATGCATAAACATCATGGATTTGCATTTTTTAGGTTTTGGAATCAAAGACGATTCTAAAAATGAAATCAGAAATAATATTTTGTGATTCTTATTGCGAACGTGTTTGTGCGTGTGTAAATACATATATTATAGACAGAGAGATTGTCTGTTTCCAACATTGCTGGGCAGTAATGTCACTATAAATACTAAAATACTCTGTGTAAAATATGATTCTTTTGTAAAAAAATAAATAAATAAATAAAAAAAAGTAAATATGAACTTAAACCGATAGTGTCAATTATAACAATAAGTCAGATTAAGAATAATTTTAAGGCAGGCAAAACTCCCTAACTAATCAAATCCTTGAAACCAAACTGACTTAGGCTTGTTCACACAAAACGCCTTTTTGCGTTCCATGGTGCTCTTTATAATCGTTTGTCTATCTAAACATTCCCTAGGCTAGACAGATCGACGTTGCCACATTTTTAAAATGCCATGTCAGACTTTTTAAAGATCAGTAAGACCTTTCATTATTTGCCATTCCACTGTGCTGCAAACTAATGTCTTCATTACATTACATCAACTCTTCATTACTCATTAGTATTTTTGGGAGAGTGAATTACATTTTTATCACCGCTGTAGACTTGAATACAGCTCTTTTTAGGACTCGACCCCCTCGTAATTCAAGAATCAATTCTTTGTGAAATTGAGTCTCAGCTCTAGGAGTCGCACCACATGGCATTATACCTGATCTAAACTTGCCATTTCATAAAAAGGGTCAAATTATCTGATATTTTAAAAGGCTTATCGACATACACACTTGACACACGTCATTAAGGTCTGCAGTGAAAGTTTTGATTTATTTATTTGCTAAGAATTACCATGCCAAACTACCTTCAAAGGTTTTCTTTTCAAGCATTTCCTCCTTTTAATATTTTTCTTAATTAATTTGTATCACCCTGACAAATAAAGTGTTTACTCCACCCAAAAATGAAAATTCTCTCATCATTTTTTACTCAACCTCATCCTCGAAGTTGATGCTTTGAACAGCGACTGATGGATCATTGTCTTCTGAAGCAAAATGATAGATGTGTGTGAGAAAAACACTAATATTTAAAACTTTTTAAACTGTAATAATTTGGCCTGAAACAATGGACAGCATGAGGGTGAGTAAATGATGAGAGAATTTTTTGGTGGAAAAGGCCTATCCCTTTAATTTCAGAAATTAAACATGTGCTCATGGTAGAAGAGAAGTCATTGTTTATATTTTTAATGTACTTGAATATATAGAATGAATATAGAACAAAAAAATTGCACCACTTCTGCATCAGATACAGACGTGAGATCACTGTTGTTGCCTAAAACTGTCGTTTTAATTTCTAGATACTACGCTACTGTTCATCCACTGAAGAAGCGCATCTCAGTTCTGGCCTGCACGTATCTGCTCTCTGGGATCTGGATTCTGTCGTGTGGTCTGGTAGCTCCTGCTGTGGCCCACACATATCATGTGGAGTTCAAGGACGAAGGTTTTACCATCTGCGAGGAGTTCTGGATGGGTCAGGAGAAAGAGCGGCTAGCCTACGCTTATAGCACGCTCTTCATCACCTACGTTCTTCCTCTGTCCGCTCTTTGCATCTCCTACTTGTGCATTTCAGTGAAGCTTCGCAATTGCGTGGTGCCAGGTCATCGTACCCAGAGCCAAGCGGAAGCCCAGCGGGCTCGGAAGCGCAAGACGTTTCGCCTGGTGTCCTTGGTCGTCGCCGCTTTTGGGATCTGCTGGCTGCCGATAAGCGTCTTCAATGTTCTACGGGATATTGATATAGACCTGATCGACAAGCGCTACTTTCTTCTGATCCAGCTATTGTGTCACTTGTGTGGAATGAGTTCGTCTTGTTGTAACCCATTTTTATATGCATGGCTGCACGATCGTTTCAGGGCGGAACTGCGCAAGATGTTCACCTGTCATCGACGGATTGGCATCGGGATTCCTGCTAACAACTGTGCCACCGCTAGCGTGGTTCTCTGACAGAAAAAGAGCACATCAAGTTAGTTCAAAGACTACTGAGGCTAACAGAACACTTGGGTTGCAAATTTGTGGAAAACAAAGTGTTCACATCGGTCCCGACCAGAACTCCACCATCTGTAAGGTTCCTCCACAGGCATCTTGTTTTAGATGGACACAGATGGTGTTTCCTGGATGTACAAGCCATGTGAGAAAGCGGTTGGATTTAGTCACAAGATTTCACCATGCTGTCTGTGATTTGAATATGGATTATCTAAGAAGGAAACTGGATGTTGGTCTCACTACAGAGAAATTATATCTTAAAATACTGCAACAGAAACATTCAGATATCCAGCTTTCAAAAAAGCAAATGCTTCAGCTTTAAAAGTGAATTACAGCTTATTTTAATGCCTTTCAGACGTTGGATTAAAATTGTTTAAACTGCATGTGTTTATACAAGATGTCACTGAAGATATATTTACATCAAAACAGATCAAATATTTTAAAAGAACACATGGCCTAGAAATATTGAATATATATGAAATATTAAAAACTTTTACTAATTAAATGTTTTCGTAATGTTTTAGGCCTTTAATGTTTTTTGTGCTCATAATAAAGTGTGGAAAAATAAAAACCTTATTGTCTTTATTAGAGTTGCAAAAACTGGAAAATTTCCAGTAAATTTCGGAAATATTCCAGTAATTTTGGAAATTTACCAGGATTTTTGGGAATATTCCAGGGATTTTTGGAAAGCTTCCGGAAATTTACTGGAAATGTTCCACCCCTTTGCAACCCTAGTCTTTATATACAAAAAAAAATGTCTGCACAAACAAAAACTTATTTTCAGTTTGCAGCCAATAACAGGACTCTTTGGATGTTGTAATGCAGTTGAAATTGTTCACTATTGAACTAAGAATCCAGTATCGTCATTGTCCTGAATCAAACAAGGAACAAAACTAAAAGTTCAGAGAGTAAAAAAAGTCTCACTTGTGTATTTATAACTGTACAATTTTGTATAAATTCATGTAACATGCAATGTTGCACCAATGAAGAGTGTCTGAACTGGTGGTTGTTTTATACTGAGGCTTGAAATACAATGAGAGCACAAACACTATCGCATTGATGCAGATGGGAAAACTCTTGATATTTTTTGCTAATCGGTCAATAAAGTGTCCTCACGATGGAGTGATTATTTGAAGATTAATCAAAGATTTGGACACAAAGACACATTATTGGGTAAACAAAATAATTGCAATGAACTTCTTGTTGTTCAGGTAAATGAATACAGTGTGAATATCTCTGTAACATTATGTTTTCCAAGAGAAAACCGAGTATTATTGCTCAAACATAGGTTTAACGATCTGTACAAACCTCTAAATATTACTGTTTGTGCTATAGATGAATAATGGAAGTAATATGCTTACGTGAAGTACAGAATGTAATGTTTTTGGACGCAATTGCACGTTATTTGCAATTAAATGAAAATTGTATATATTAAAATATATATTAAATGTAAATAGCTGAGTTTAAGTGTCTTTTTAACGCAGGTAAGAAGGACTTAAGTACATCTTTATATGTACACTACAGATAAAATTACAATTAATTACTTTACATGTGGTTTAGTATGTTAGTCGACACATGAAAATAAAAATGTGCACAAACATACACCACTAAAATCTAGTTAATGGTATCATATTACCGTTAACTTTAATTCAAAGCACTAAAGATTCCACTAGTATGATTGCTAATTCAAAGGAACACCAATGCGTGTGAACAGTAGGGAGATAAAGTGATGAAAAGATAGAGCAACTGCAGTCAGTAACCTTTGAAATGGTCTGGGCATGTTAATATCCTCAGCACAACAGCCGAAAATGAAAATGAGCAACAAAAGACAAAACAATAAAAAGGAGGAAGCGTTTCCATGGTGACCAACTCAGTACATCTTTTGAGTTTTTCTTTCTCCCACCTCTCCACTCAATCTCTTTCTGTGATAGATTGTGATGTTTTCAATGGTCTGCCATCCCAATACATCAAAGACAGCCAACTACACAAACACAGCTTCGATAATAGACCAGTGATTCACAAGGAGGATGACAGAAAAATGTGAAAGACAAACAAGCTGCACCCTACAAATGAGTAACTAAGACACTTTCAGCTCTTCATCTCTCAAGCTGCAGGTTGCAGACCAGGTTAAGCTCCCAGGTCTCAGATCTGGCAGTATTACACCTGGACTGAAAATGACTCAAACTTATCTTTTGTTTCTAATGTTAAGGGTCCGCCAGGCTACAAGGTTTAATAAATGGAGAAACAGTAGTGACAACACCAAATCTATGTCTTTTGGTGTGTGTGTCGGTCTTTAAACTTTCTTTTAGGCCAAGAGGTGGAGCAGAGACCCCCGGTTACACACTGAATAAAAATGAGTTCCTAACAGGGTATTGTAACTAAAACTAAAACCATAAGAAACTTGGAGTAAGATTAAATAAAATATAGTATAAAAAAAACTAACTTATTTTACCTATCACTTTAGTTTAGTTTGACTTGAAGTACTAATATAATTAATACTAAAACTGGAAACTAAATAAATACAAATATAGATATATTTTTAAGGGATGAAAGGGATGTATGTAAGTTTTTTACCTTGAAATATCAGTTTCAAAATCATTCTCAATGTACACTTACTTCTAATAAGACGAAGAGGTTGTGTTTCTTTCCTCGCTCCCTCTCAAACATTTTGGTGAACTGGTACAAAATTACGCGAAAAAAGCGCGAATTGCTTTACGGCAGCATCAAATGCACGTGACAGCTATCTGCTATAATTACGACAGTGAATTCCACTCACTTAACTGTAGGGGGCTCCGAAGTCGCCAAAATACAAAAAGCTACATACAGCTGCTCACAAAAAAAAAAAATCAAAAATCAAAATAAATAAATACTTTAAATTACAATTAAAACAGAAAAAATATATATAAAAAACTAATTCAAAATATTAATAAAAACTATAATAGTATCTAAATGATACTAAAATAACAGTGGTTCATAACATATTTACCATATTAAAGAATTAATTTTCATTTGTTGCAAATAAAATAATCATTATACAAACGTTATTTTCAGTCCTCAAATTCAACTGGTTGAGTGGACATTTCACTGTTTCTATCACACCGCTTCTCTGTGTATTAGTGGTGGTGGGGGGGGTTTCAGTAACTCTTTCTACAGGTTACATCGCCATAGGTGGCGAAAAGGGAGTCACTGAATCATTCATTCAACCAATTCATTCAAAACAGCGATTAATTCAGTCCAATCGCATGAGAAAATGCAATTTACGAGACATTTAGAGAATTTGTATGAATTTGTACAACGTGATTTGTGCAGAAACGTTCATTCTTAGAAAATAAATAAATAAATGAAATTCCAAACTTAGGTCCACCCCTAAACCCAAGCAGATGGGGCATAAGCAGATGAGATTCATACAAATTAGCCACAAATTCACCAAAATGGAAAATAGCTATGAACCAAGAGTGTGTTGGTTTCATTCTGGAACAAAATAAGTGACTGTCTTTATGAGTCATTCATTGAATTTATTTGCACAAACACAATTAATTCAGGAACAAAACTGTGTTACTGGGAGATGCAAGGGTTGGTTCTGCTTCATTTGGAACTGGGTTTATTAGCTGAACAAAAATGTCTAAAAAGTAATTTACTAAGTATTAACTTCCTGTGTATTGAATTGTTGAACAGAAACAACACCACAAATACTGTGTATTCATATA